CTATGCCTGGGAGCTGTTTGGAAGACAAAATATCATCCAGGATTAGTAATGCAGATAGGCTTTCGACATTGGTGACCAGCTTCCTTAGTGACTTGCCTAAATTCTTGGCAAAATTACCTTCATTTAAGAATTAATTCCAGCCGGGTGGTGGCGGCACACGGCTTTAATCCCAGCACTCGGGAGGCAGAGGCAGGCAGATCTCTGTGGGTTCGAGACCAACCTGGCCTAGAGTGAGTTCCAGGATAGCCTTCAAAGCCACAGAGAAACCCTGCCTCAAACTGTGCCCCCCCCCATGAAAAAAAAAACTAATTCCAGGCCGAGCAGTGGTGGTGCACACCTTGAATCCCAGCACTTGGTAGGCAGAAGCAGGAGGATCTCTGTGAGTTCGAGGCCAGGCTGGTCCATAAAGTGAGTTCCATTATAACCAGAGAAACCCTGTCTTAAAAAAAAAAAAAACTACTTCCATAGATCTCTTTTTTTTTAAGGTTTTTGTTTATTTATTATTTATTACATATACATCCCAGAAGAGGGCATCAGATTGAATTGTAGATGGTTGTGAGCCACCATGTGGTTGCTGGGAATTGAACTCTGGACCTCTAGAAGAGCAGTCAGTGCTCTTAACCTCTGAGCCATCTCTCCAGCCCTTCCATAGATCTCTTATGGAATAATTTGATGCCGATTCTACTTTTAATTATATAAGTGCTAACATGCGCACTGGAAACTTTGCGGGGAGGAGCTTTTCATTAATTTTTTTTGAGAATTTCCTGCCTGAGTGTTGTATTCACATCATTTTTAGCCCTCTCTATGCTCCTCCAACGCCTCCCATGGCACTGCTCTGCTCCCTTCTCAACTCATGGCCTCTTCTCTTAATTATTGTTTTACACTCACGTCAAAATGCTGAGACCATTTAAGGTTGTTTCTATGTACATATGTTTAGGGATAATGGTTGGGAGTTGACAACCTGACAGGGACCTCATCTGTAGGCAAGAACAATTCTCTTTTCAACCGCCATTGTCTGTGGCTCTTCACCTGTAGGCAGGGCCTTGTGGAATTCCTTGTGGCAGTTTTAAAGTCAAATGCATGCTTAGGAAATAATAAATAGCTCGTGTGGTGGTGCATGCCATTAATCCCAGCAGAAGTAGGCTGATCTCCATGAGTTTGAGGCAAGCCTGATATACATAGTGAGTTCTGGGACATCCAAGGCTATAGAAAGAAACCCTGTCTCACAAGAAAGAAAGAAAGAAAGAAAGAAAGAAAGAAAGAAAGAAAGAAAGAGTAGAGAGAAGCCTTCCCACCAGCCTCGTTCCAGAGCCACATCAGTCCCAAATGAACACACAGGAGGCTATATTAATTATGAAGTTGTTGGCCTTTTGCTTGGTTTCTTACTGGCTATCTCTGATTTAAGTATTTACTCCATAATTGTTAATCTAAGTATTTCTCTTACCGGAGAAAAGGGTCCGGATCTTATTCCTATGGCAGCTACATCATGACTCCCTGTGTTTCTCCTCCTGGACTCCTAGTCCCACCTATCTTGCTTCCCTATTGGCCAACAGTGCTTTATTGACATATACACAGGACTTCCCCATCATCTCCTCTTTTCTGTCTAAATAAAAAGGTTTTAACTTTAACATAGTCAAATTATATATAACAGAACAGTTATCAAATAAGAACTATAGTTACAATATTTTGTTCATTAACATTTAGTAAGATTTAAAGAAAGTATCGTCTATCCTATCTTTGTGAGTCTAAAGTTTTATATTGTAGCTTATCTTTTATCATAACTAAGGAAAACTATAATTATAACTATCTGCCTTCAACTCTATCAAAGACCACAGAAGGATAATAGGTAAACACTAGGATTGACAGAGACATCTCGCTACCTGGACAGTCACCTGAAGTTCCTCTGTAACGCTGGGGCATCCATCTTCAGCCCATAGGCCACGGTGTATCTGGAAGACTTCTCAGCAAAGCAGGAAATTTCAAGCTATCCATCTGCATTGGCAGTCTGTCAGTCAATTTTTCTGTGTCCTGCACAAAGTCTCATAGACTTTCCATGAAGCAGGAACCCTGAAGGACCGTTTGAGTTCAGCAGTCACTTTTCTGTGGGTCCTACATGTCCAGTTTATACAGCAACAGTCAAGCAGTCTAGGTAAGAACAGTTTCTTGCCCAAATGGCTAATCTTGCCATGTTGAAAGCAAACTCCATAACGAGTTTCTTCAATGCCCATCTTCCTCTCAGACGTAATTGATGTGCCAGGAACAGACATTTCTCATTGTCAAGAAAAACCCTAAACCATTTTAAATGCCATTTTCTGAAGGTCTTTGAAAGATTTGAAGACTATCTATCTCAAATGTATTTCTGTATATCTAGAAAGCCAAACTTACCTAACTATAAATTCTGACTATTATAAGTAACTATCTATAATCTGTATTTAATTATGCATTATGTTTTAAAAGATCAGTATAAGCACAATACTTAATCAAGAGGAGAAATATACATATCACAAAATTGACCTTGAATTTGTATCAATAAATGAAAAACCATACCAATACAAAGTACTCATTTCCATACCATAAGAAAGAAAGATTTCTAAAATGTAGATGATGTCAGTGACTTACTGACAATAATACTATTTCAATAGAGTTTGGAATTCTACTTTCCAAGTATCTGCCACTCGATGTAACAAAAGGGATGAAATGGGGGTGTAGGTTGACTGAGCATTGCTTTGTTATTTGACTCAATCAATACAGTCACTATTGAGCATACAGTATATGGCATGTTTATAGACTGAAGGAAGGAAAAAAGGAAACACCACAAAGCCCATATTTCACAAGGAATTTATGTTCTGCTTGGGTTAACACACACAAGAAGGCATTGGGTATTTCCATCCTTTCGGTATGCGGGTGATAAAGATATAATGAGGAGAAGGATAGCGACCAGGGAAGAACTCCCAGGAAAAATGGCAGCTGGAAAGAGACCTGAGTGGGGAAGGGAGCCACACCCCCCCAGAGGTACGGGGAAGCTTAAAGGCCCTGGTGGGGAGCGAACACACTGTGCTCATGAGAAAGTCATGGTGGCTACAGCAAACGGGAAGACGCTAGGAGAGGAGAGGATCATTTAGGACCCTGGGAGCCACCTGAGTGAGGCCTCTTGCACTTACTGCAGTTACGGGGAGATGCTCCGGGAAGTCGGGAATAGGAGAGCAGTGTGCAGAGAGGTGTTGGGAATAGATCAGTGTGCAGACGCTCCACAGCGTTGGTTCTCAGCCTGTGGCTCATGGCTTCTTTGGGGTAAAATGACCCTTTCCCAGGGTTGCATATCAGGCGTCCTGCATACCAGGTATTTACGTTCTGATTCACAACAGTAGCAAAGTTACAGTTATAAAGTAGTGCTCACACAGTGGTATGATTGGGGTCACCACAATTAAAGGTCAAGCATTAGGAAGGCTGAGAAATTGCGGCTCCACCGAGACCGGTTAGCAGCTAACAAGAGTTGATGCCAGCATCCGCATAATTGTCTTGCTGACTCTTCACTGCCTAGTTTAAAATATAAAAAATAAAAATTGTTTCTGCGCAAATGGTGGGTTGAGAACAACAACAAAATGTAGCTTTTGACTAGAGTGTCACCCGTTTCTATTATGACTGTAAGGGAACTGCCCTTGTGAGCTGCCAGACCTAGAGACGTTCTTTGTGGATGGTAAGGTAACAGAGAACTGAAGTCCAGGATATTCTGAAACATATCCACCGCCTCAGCTCCGACCTCCTCCCCTCCGTTAACAGACTGATTCTAGGTGCTTCCATGAAAAGAAATCAGAGCTGAACACCCAGCATTTTCTTCCACAGGGACATACTGCCATCTGGAGGCTTCCAGAGTTAAAAAAAAATAGATAAAAGAGGAACCTGGGCCCTGGCTCCACATCTGTTGATTTCTATATTCACCCTATTTTCTGTGTAGAAAATTATGAAGTCATTAATTTAAAAGAAATGAGAAGGTGCGTGGCTCGCTGTATTAAATGGAACCCCCAGCAGTTGGTTTTAAACACCTTACTTTTCCTGTGGGTTGTCCATTAATTACCAGTGTAGACTGTACGCCATTTTCCTCCTACAGCTACTGTGCCAGGGCCCAACCCCTTTCAGACGGCAAATCTTCTCCATTTCCTCCATGATTATGAACCAATGCAGGCTTTCTCTGTGTTGAATTTTGATTGCTAATATTTTCTTAGCTAAGCATCAATTCTCTCAAATTTTCAAATATATTTCCATACTTATATGTAATGTTCTTCCATAAAATTTTTCTTCTATTATTTGCCTATAGTTACACATGACTTTTAATCTTCCATATCCTTTTACTTTCCATTTATGTAGAACTTTGATGCTGCAGTGTTGGAATGGGATCCAGGGCCCACAAACACTAGGCAAGTGCTGTCCCACTGGGCTGTGTACCCAGTCCTACTGTGGGATTTTTGAGTGGCAGAATGACATATACGGAATATGTTTTATAATGGAAGACAACATTGCTACACATTATTGTGCTGACAGAGGCAGAACTAGGGAATACAATTTAGAGGGCAACTTCAGCATCTCAAATTAGCAGTGACTAGAGTCTGGACAACAGAAAGGACAGTTTAAAGATTCTGTACAATAAAATTAGCAGAAACGTGTAACTATTGATGTTTAATGGGAGAAAAGGAAAGAGGTGATGTGATGCCCAGTTCCCTGCCTCTGGAAGAGGAGATGCCCTTAGTGGAAAAACATTGCTTTCTTTAAGGACATTTGAGTTTCAAATGATGGAATGGTTGCAATATAAAAATGCCCAATAAGTCTAGATATATAAATACAAGTTTATTGTAGAAATGATGGTGGAGGCTGTGAGATCATCTGGGAATGAGAAAGGGAAAAGAGGCAGAGAGAGGATGGAGGAAGAGGAGAGGAGATAGCAGAGGGAAGAGAGAAGGGACAGACACATTGAGACAGAAGTATTTAAATATTAATAAATAAATATCTTCTGTAAAGACCTATGCTTTAAGGCAGCTGAACAAAATCAAAGAGCAATTGCAAAAGTCAAGTGGGAAAATAATTTTTAAGACATTTAGGGAAACAATAGTATAAATTGAACCCCAAATTAAAATGATAAACAAATTGGCTGCACAAAAAGAAAAACATAAAACAAAAGTACCACACATAGAAAAATATTTCTAATAAATATGATAATCATAGACCAATTTACTTACCATGTGTGCTGGTTAGTTTCCGTCAACTTGATAGAAACTAAAGTCACCTGGGGATAGGGAGCTGCAGCTGGAAGAATTGCATCCATCAGTTGGCGTGTAGGCATGTCTGCGTGGCATCCATCAGTTGGCGTGTAGGCATGTCTGCGTGGCATTTTCTTGATTGCTGGTTGATGTGGGAGGGCCTGGGCTGCTGCGGTCAGTGACGTCCTGGAGCAGGTGGTCCTGGGTTGTCTAAGGAAGTAAGCTGAGCAAGTCCTAGAGAAAAAAACAGGAAGCAGTGTCCTAAGTCCCCACCTTGGCTTTCCTTGGTGATGTTACAGTAAGCCAAATAATCCCTTTCCTCCCCCAAGATGTCTGTGATCAGTGTTTCATCACAGCAACAGGACACAAACTAGGATAATACACAAGCACTTAAAGTCAATGAAAAGATCATTTACGAATTAGCAAAAGAAGAGATGGCTCAGAGGTTAAGAGCACTGGCTGCTCTTCCAGAGGTCCTGAGTTCAATTCCCAGCACCCACATAGTGACTCACACCATCTAGAATGAGACCTGGTGCCGCCTTCTGGTCTGTGAAACACCGTATACATAATAAATACATAAATATTTTAAAAAAGAATTAGCAAAAAAGCTGCTAAGCTGGATTTTTACTTTTCCTTTTTGAAAGACCCTGGTTAGATAAAGGACTCAGTACAAACTTGGAATACTGTACAGATCTTATAAGTGGACAAGGAATTTTATCCTGAACAATAATCTCAAAAGTAAAGATGGAGGAAGAGACAGATGAAGAAGAGGAGGAAGAAAGAAATGTATTTCCAGTTTCAAAATGTATAAGGGAACGGAGACATTTTATCAAATGTGAAGTAAACCATGGTATGCTCATCGAGTTGCTGCTAGGATGGCAAAAGAAAACCAGGACGGTAGTGCCCTGTGCTCCCCAGGAAACCAGGACGGTAGTGCCGTGTGCTCCCCAGGAAACCAGGACGGTAGTGCCCTGTGCTCCCCAGGAAACCAGGATGGTAGTGCCCTGTGCTTCCCAGCATGTGGAGTCTGAAATTCATACACTCTGGGAAGAATGTAAAATGATGCAACTTCGAGAAATAATTCGGCAGCTCTTCAGAAATCAAACATGGATCGGCCATATAACCCAGCTGTCACACTTTGGGGCATTTATCCCAGAGAAATGCAATTTTATACTCACACAAAAGACCCATATAGAATATTCATAGTGATTTTACTTTCCACACCAAAAGAGAAGGCGGTCAACTGTCCTTCAACAGATGAATTGTTAAACTCTGGACCATACATGCAACGCACCACCCTTGAGCAATAAAAAAGAATGAACCTCTATGACAAACAGCCAGGATGGATCTTGAGATAATTACACTGAATTGAAAAGCCAGTAGTTAACACTGTGTAAAAGCATTCGCATACCATTCTTAAAATGACCCAGCTAGAGAGATGTGGGACGGACTGATGTTTTGCTTCTAGGTGACAGGGTTGAGCAGGTGCAAATACAAACTGGGCACAATAGTGACCCTCAAAGAAATAAAATGGTTCTGCATCTTGATTGTGGTAGCTATACAAACCTCCACATGGAATAAAATCACATTGAATTTTACATGTAGGGGGATGAAAACTATACAAACTACATAGCCAGTTACTACCGAAGACACTGGGGAAAGGTGTACTGGGATCCACCTACTCCTTAAGTTCCCATAAGTTAATATTACTTAAAATCTTTTAAGTTAATGAGGAAGCAGGTTATGGCCTAGAAATAGGTTTAAATATTTAATCTATTGAATTACATTTAAATATCAAATACTAAGTTACATATACTCGGTGTCTGAGGGTCACTGTTACTGTGATGGAACACCACGACCGAAACAACTTGGAAAGCAAAGGGTTTGTCTGGCTCACAGTTCCACACGGTCGTCCATCACTGAAGGAAGCCAGGACAGGACCCAAACAGGGCAGGAGCCTGGAGCCAGCACCTGATGTAGAGGCCGTGGAGGGGAGCTGCTTACCGGCTTGCTCCCCATGGCTTGTTCGGTCTGCTTTCTTATAGAACCCAGGACATCAACCCAGGGAGGGCAACACCCACCATGGGCTGGGCCCTCCCCCATCAATCACTAATCAAGGAAATGCCCTACAGCTGGCGTTTTCTCAACCAGGGTTCCCTCCTTCTACATAACTCCAGCCTGTAGTAAGTAGACCACAAGTCAGTCAGCACAGCTGACGACTTGTCAACTTGACACACAAACACAGCACCATCAAGCCGTAACCCTTCCTTTCTTTCCTTCCTAAGATCTCACATTAATAGAAACATTCCCAAGTTCAAAAATTCCACAGTCTTTAAAAAAATTCAAATGCCTTTAATCTCAGCACTCAGGAGGCAGAGACAGGCAGATCTCTATGAGTTCAAAGCCATTCAAGGCCAGCCTGGTCTACAGAGTAAATTCCAGGACAGGCTCCAAAGCCACAGCGAAACCCTGTCTCAAACAACAACAACAACAAAAAAGCAACAATAATAACAACAAAAAATTAAATGCTTAAAAAAAAGCCTTTTTTTAAAATTCGAAGTCTCTCAACTCTGGGCTTCTTTAAAACCAAAAATAAATTAAACACTTTCTTATTTCAAGAGGAAAGAACCAGGTCACCATCACAATCTACACAAAGCACAACAAACTCAAAACGAGTAAACAACTCAATATTCAATTATCTGGAATCCACTCACAATATTCTGGGCTCCTCAGAGGAGCTTGGTTCACCTCTCTGGGCCTGCCCTCTGCAGCACACACAGCTGCTCTTCTAGGCTCTGTCTGGCTGCTGTTCTTGGTGGTCATCCCATGGTACTGGCATCTCCAAAATGCTGGGGTCCCTTGCTGCATCTGGGCTACAGTTTTACCAATGCTTCTCTTGGGCTGTCTTTACGGACTCCAGCCCTGCCACACCTCGCCAAGCCCCAGCTGCTCTCCATGACCTCCTCAGGCCTTCAAAAGCAGTACCACCTGGGTGACTCTCACACAACCAGGTTCAGCTGCCAGCACTTGGCTGCTTCTGGAACACAGCTTCTATGCGCTGAGCCTGAGGGAACACTTCCCAGAAGACCTCACCTCAGTGATGCTGGTCTCTTCTTAATCACAAAAGATTCTCCAGCCACATTGTCCAGAACACTAAATGCAACCTTTGCTGCCCTGGGACAATGGATGCTGGACAACTGTTGGGCACAGGTCTGCCCTTAAGCGTGGTTTGTATAGCCATTGAGACTACTTTGGAGAAAACTGATTTTTCCTTTGGAAGCAGCCATCAGTTGGAGACAGCTTTCTGGCTAGGGTTGGGAGATCATGTCCACTTGATCCTCTCAGCACTGGGACCCCATTGGGTTTGGTTCTGTGAAGGTTCTGTGAATGGCACCACTATCTCTGTGAGTTCGCAAATATGCCAGCCTTGTTCTGTCTAGAAGGTCTTGTTCCCTTGGTATTATTCATCCTTACTGGCCCTTACAATCTTTGTGCCCCCTTTTCTGTAAAGCTCCCTGAACCCTGAGGGGAGAAGTCTGATAGAGACATCCCATTTAGAACAGGCACTCATTGCACAGTGTCTGGCTGTGGGTCTCTGCATTTGTTCCCATAGCTGCAGGAGGAAGCTTCTCTGATGACGACTGAACAAGTCACTGATCTGTGGGCACAGGAGAATGCCATTAAGAGTCATTAGATTGTTACATTTATTTAGTAGAACAATAGTATGTGTTTTTCTCTAGGTTCTTGGCCACCCGAGCAGTGTCAGACATAGTTTCAATCTCATGGAGTAGGCCTTAAATTCAATCAGATATTTGTAACACCAGTTCCAACTTGTGTTCATAATAAAAGCTCAGAGTCAGATATAGGGGAAAATGTTGAGAGATCAGAGAGAAGGAGCAAGCCAAAGCCATCTTTACCTCACTAACTTCCCAACAGAAAAGAGAGTAAGTTCCTGTTTCCTCCTGCTTATATTCCTTTCTCCACCCAGCCATCTCACTTCCTGTCTGTCTGTACAGACCTCCAGACCTCTATGGTTAGGTAGTAGCAAGCTCCATCCTCTGATCTTCAGACAGGTTTTATTTGTACAAACAAGGTTACTCCCTCAACTTTTGTGTCCTTATACTGCAGCATGTAGGTCAGCCACCATTATAGATTGATGGATTTACAGCTGTGTTGGTGTCTGCCTCTATCCTCTGGTGACATGCAGAGTATCATCCCATACTGTGAAACTGTTCAGTAGGGGGTGAGGGCTCCAGTTAGGCACCAGCTTGACTTCCCATTGTTAAACGAAACATGTAGGTGTTATCTTCAGCCGCAGGGCCTTACCATCAATTTTCAGAGAGCTTTAAATAGCCTTGGCAAAAGCCTGAATTGTTTGGGGGATTCCATGGGGTCCTCAGAGTCAACAACTTAATTAGATAGATGTAACCCATTCCTGGAAGTTTCATTTGATGGTGATGGTGAGAATTGTTTAGACCTATCTCTATTTCTCTCTCTATTTCTCTCTCTCTCTCTCTATTTCTCTCTCTCTCTCTCTCTCTCTCTCTCTCTCTCTCTCTCTCTCTCTCTCTCTCTCTCTCTCTCTCTCTCTCTGCCTGCCTGCCCCAGTAAGTTCTATAACAACAGGAATGCTTAAAAATGGATATTTGGTTATTTATGAGGCTATTTGACGTCCTTGAGGAAATGGGGGATTACAAAATTATTACCAATTACAAGAATTTGGCAAGAAAGCTACTGCTATGGGAACAGTGGATGCCAGTCTTTTCGGGGACCTCCTCAGAACAATGGAAGGTTCCTCAGAACCATCTCATCCATGAGTGGAGAAGCTGAAGTCTCCACTCTCCCATGCTTCGTTGGCTGAGGACACTCCAGAGGCCTCAATGTACCTTTATGATGAGATCTAGAGAACAGACTGGACAGAGGAGCTTGAGGAACTGATCATGAATACAGACTAAGTGCAAGCAAGTTTTGGTGGGGGTGCTGAACACCAGACATGGGCAGGGAAAAGGCAGCATCATTACCACTAGAACACATTCCGTGAACAACAGCCAGACAAATGTAATGTTGACAAGTAAACTAAAGAACTGAATTATACATACATACATACATACATATTGTCAGAGAAAATTGGCTTTTCTGTTGGCCTCGGCTGTGATCCGGATTCTTAGACTTTTACAAACTCCTTGCTGTGGAATGGATCCATTTTTTTCCATGTCACGTGGTCTCCGCCTCCCACCTCTTACTCAACAGGGCCATTTGCTCCTTCTCACTGCTCTCAGGGAAAAGTTTCAGATGAACTTAATCCCTCCAACTTTCATGAGGAAAAACACCGCCAGGTTTCATGGAAATAAATATAGCATTACTTGCTGATCCAATTTTTCCTGACATGTAAGTTATTGCCTATAAATTAGTTGGCCAACTTTTAGAAGTTGCATTAATTCTTTTGGGCCGGTTGAGAACCCTTTAGTGCACAAACAGCAATAGACGTTAAATTTACAACCCTGAAGACTGGAGCCATTAATCCAGATCAAAGCATTCCAGGGACCACTTCCTTCTCTCCTCCTTTTTTATATAGTTTTCATCTGGGTTATGAATAAGACATCTTATTCTGAGAAAAGAAGTATTATGTCTTTGAGACACTTAAATTCTTGATTAATCATACTAAAAGTCTTTAAACTTTCAATGAATGTGCTGATGTGCAGATTCTCTCATTTCCCCACCACGGAGCTCTTGGCTCACATAAGGTTGGTTTAATTTTATTACATAAAAGTACTCCATGAGAATTAGCTGGGTTTTTTTATTGTTTTGGTTTTTTGAGACAGGGTTTCTCTGTATTGTTTTGGAGGCTGTCCTGGAACTTGCTCTGTAGACCAGGCTGGCCTCGAACTCACAGAGATCCGCCTGCCTCTGCCTCCCCAGTGCTGGGATTAAAGGCGTGCGCCACCAACGCCCAGCTAGCTGGGGATTTTTAACTGTAAAAATGATAAGAATGAAATTGAGGTTACTAAACTTACCTGATTTCATTTGTAGTTGTTTTCTATAGACCCTTTCTCTCAACTGCCATTAACAGTACCTTTTTTCTGACTTCTAAGAGACTTGCTATTATAGTGTATGTTATATGTATTATAGTGGATAATAAATTTACTTTTTCTGTCAGAGGTTACCCAAATAGTACTATTTTAACTTAAAATTGGTTTTATGTGTAACTTTTCTTTTTGATTCATACATTGGTTAATTTTATGTATTAAGTTGGACAGGCCAAGGTAGCCTGGTTTGGGGCAAAACACCACACTGGGTGTTTCTATGCAGATACTATGTAGATGTGACAATAGATTTTGATAAGGAGAATCATTTTCACAATGTAGGTTAACCTTGACCATTCAGTTGAAGGCACTAAAGGAAAAGTCTGAGATTCTGGGAGGCAGATGGAATCCTGCTTCCAGGTGGCCCTTGGAGTGAAGACCCCATCATACAAAGCGGTAGTCATGGAGAAGTACGGCTCTCATTGTTTCAAAGAAGGCATCATGAAGCACATTGCTGAGTGACATGGCTCTGTATCCTCACAAGGTTCACATGACAATACACAATCTAGCTGTTCCTTGCTAATTAATGACTTGCTAAAATGGGATGCCAAATAAACAAACTATGAAATTTCCAAGCCTTGCCCCTAAAGTGTTTTGTAGTTTGTTCTTGGTCTTCTCATGTCTGCCTCATGTGCTGAGACTCAAGCATCCTCCTCAAGAGCTAGAAGCTGTGTGTGGAGACCATGACTCAGTCAATTGTGCTATCAACCACTAGACCTAGGGGAACATCTTCAGCTTTCCAGTTCTAGTCAAATGACCAGGCAGTTGTGGAAACAATCATAGATGAAGCTTTTAGAAGAACTGCTTGGCTGAGTTCAGCTCACAGTGTTAACCTGCAGAACTGTGAGCATGTCAAGTTTTTTGCTATAATAAGCCATTAGGTTTTGGAGTAGTATGCTAAATATCTGTAGGGAATTGGCGCACACCTTCCATAAAAGTACACAGTGGCTGAAAATGTAAGAACAGAGTTGTAGAAACCACCAAGGGAAAGTCTGGCCCTCTATGTTGATATCAGACAAAAGAAATTTAAAGACAAAAATGTTATTAGAGTTAAATAGGACTAATAGGCACATAAACTGTATATATCTGATAAAACAGTCTTAAAACATGTAAAGTAGAAAAAGAGAAAGAGTTAGAATTACAAGAAGCAAACTCAAAATCAACCAAACAGTGATTGATCAAGATAAGTCAAGTAAGAGACCAGGAAGGGCACTGGGGTCTTAGGACTCCAGGGCCAGTAGCAGGCTGAGACCAGTGATGCGCTTAGCCATCACCTGAGATGGTTCTTTTAGTAGTGGGAAAACAAGGAAGAGGGATTGGGCCTCTACAACACACACACACACACATACATACACACGCACACACGCACGCACGCACGCACGCACGCACACCCCGACAGGGCTCATGGCATAACATGTTCTAAGAGAGTGTGGAAGAATGTAAGAGTTAGAGGTTAGAGAGGGATCTTTCAGGACAGGACACGTAGCAATCATGAACTCAGCACAGCTGCGGTTACCTGCACACGACTGATCTGTTTTGTGGTGTGTGAAGAACGGGCTCACAAGGTCACACTGCTCACTAATATTCAAAAATAAAAGGAGACAGATCAAAGTAGAAGACTGTTGAGAAGAAGGCAGGCCTCAGCAGGATGGAGAGTAAGAGAGGGCCTGGACGCCCTGATGCTCAGTGCTTACGCCTGTGAAAGCCTCCAAGCAGCTCATGCTGTCGAGAGTGTGGGGCCAGGGGAACCCGCATCCATGGCTGGTGGGAGTGGAAGCTTGTACAGCCCCTGGGGAAATCTGTGTTGGTTCCTCAGTGAGATAGGGAAAGTTCCACCTCGAGCTCCAGGTACA